GCAAGAAGCAGTTCAATCAGTAGAGCAGTTTTCTATTGGTCTATTATGGAATAGAATTCATTGCCAATGTAGCAGAACTAGTGCGTACGTACGAATAGTGTGTCATCAGTGCCTAGCTTGATGCGGAACACCATTTGTGTTGTGAGGAGCTGTTTGATTGTTTGCATGTGTGGTTTGTTTTGTTTTTGATGCTGTACGGCTTTGAGTAATCAGTTACCCCAGGAAGAATAGCTGCTGTGCTGCTACAGCTAATAGGGATCGTAATAAACCAAGCTAAACTAAACCTCAGTTTCTCACAGATCTGTAAAGTGATCAATAAAATGCATGCTTCTAACATGCTTTAACTGTAAGCGCTGTGGTTAAGTCAGTTCAGCTGCTGTTCCAGCTGCAACCTGTCTCCTCTAAGCAGAGTCAGCACCATCTATCTACGCTGTCAAACAAATCGCACAGTGTGTACATTAAGTGGCCGATGAGCTGGACTGAACTGATGCCTGCAGTCACAGATAATCTATATAAAAGCCAAAGCTTGTCTTGTAGCAGAGGCTCCCACCGTCTGTGTGTGTGTGTGTTCTTTAATCTATTTGCCTGCATCCTTTGAAAACAGTGACATAAAGGGGATATCTTTTAGCTTGCCTAACTTGTCGGTGCATGCTTTGTTTCCAAACGTAACCCACTGTGCCAGTGTAACTTTAGCTTAAAGAATTTTGTTCTCACCGAGCACTGAGCCATGGCTGTGGGCGACCGTCTGTCCCTTCACCGACAGCTGCACCTGGACGCGGGTTTCTGCTTTCGCGTTGAAGATGGTTACGCTCACGCTCTCCTCGACGCCCGCTCGAAAGACGGAGGGTGCAGCGACCAAGTAACCCCTGAGAGAAGAGCAGCAGGGCAGAGAGAGGGAAAGAGTTTAAAGGAAGGAGGGAGCAAGGGGGTAAGGTGAGGTGAGATGACAGTAGGGGGAGAATACAGGTGATGGCAAGGGAGGCAAAAGGAGATGGGAGACCAGGTGTAAATACACATTTTTTTCTGTCTCGCTTCATGTTTTTCACTTCCATGCACGCACAAGGTTAGCTGCAGCTTTCACCAGGGATGCAGCACCTGACGACCACTGAGCTTGTTGCTTTAACCTTTTTTTTGGGTGGTCCGGCACCCTCTGACAGAACCTCGACATCTGTTTGGAAAAATAATGGCTGAGATTCCTCACAGTCACTCTGACATTTAATTGAGGGAAGGGGACCTGTCACTGAGGTCACAGAGCAAAGGTCATTCTTTGATGCTTATTAAGAGTCTAG